AATCTTAGATATCATCTTATCTTGATAATATCTTATCTTGATTTTAAATATAGTATGTAACGATAATATATTAGAGATTATAGGAAATCATATCTATTGTAATTAGAGGAAAAATCTTCCTAATTAGAGAAAATATCTATAGAATCTTCTAGGATATTTTTTAGAATATTTTTCCTTATTTCCTTATTTTAGAAGATGTTACAAATAGGTATAAGGAAAATATAATATGTATGAATAATAATAATAATAAATTATTCTCCTTTTCAAGTTGGTATCAGAGCTCCCGATCTTGGGAGCTTCGTTTCAGCTGCAAACAGTAGCCACTGCCGCCGCTCTCCGGTCACTGCGGCTATCGCCGTAGTCGTTGGGGTCGTTGATAGGGCAGAAAGGTGCGCCCAACTCCGACGAACACAACGCCGGAATTAGCTCCGAGAAATACGCCGCCACACGCCGCCACACGCCGCCACCGTTGCCGGCGCGTGTAGCCCACGCGCCTAGCTCCAGCGAGACCCACTCGCCGCCACCGCCACAGAAAGAGTCGTCGGAGCCTCCTGAGTCCATTCCACGGGTCGGTGACGTCCCATTTGGCGCAGATTTGAGTAGATCTGAGTTTTGAGTTTTGTTCTTTTTCCGGTGACGTCCCACGCGCCTAGCTCCGACGAGACCCACTCGCCGCTACTGTCACAGAACTGGTCGTCGGAGCCTCCTAAGTCCGTTCCACGGCCCACTCATCGTTGTCGCCACAGACAGAGTCGCTGAATCAATCCATTAAGTTACCACTATCAGATTTTTTGAGATGAAAACTTTTAAAGAGGAACTAGATCGTTTGAAAGGAATGATTGAATCAATAAGTAAGCCCTCTGGACCATGTACTCTGTCCATGAAAGGTAAGAGTTCTCTCCATACTGTGGGTCCTGTGTCTTAAGGTATTTGAATTCTTGATTCAGGAGCAACTGATCATATGACACCTTTTCGTATGATCTTCAAATCATATATTCAAAGGAATAGAGAACAACTTATTACAGTTGCGAATGGTCAAAGTGTACCCATATGCAGCTCTGGGAATATAATTTTGTAATCATCTATTATATTAAAGGATGTTTTACATGTTCCACAATTAGCCAATAATCTTATCTCTGTGCAAAAGCTCACAAAAGATTTAAATTATTCAGTAACATTTTTCTCAACTCATTGTGTTTTTCAGGACCTTGCTACGGGGAAGACGATTTTAACTGCTAAAGAACAGAGTGGGTTGTATTTGTTGGAATCTGATGAACAAGACAAAACAAAAATCATGAGTCAACAAGCTACATCTGAAACGTGGGCAAATTCCCAAATATGGCTACATCATAAAAGACTTGGGCATCCTTCATTCAACCTTCTTAAATCCTTATTTCCTCATTTGTTTACTAAGGAGTCTATTGAGTCTTTTAATTGTGATATTTGTCAATTGTCAAAACACCATCGTGCATCCTATCCTATTAGTAATAAAAAGAGTACTTCTCCATTTGATTTAATTCACTCTGATGTTTGGGGACCTGTCGTAGAATCTATTTCCGGAGCTAGATGGTTTGTTACCTTTATTGACGATTGTACCCGTGTCACATGGACATACCTTATGAAAAATAAATCAGAAGTTTTCCAAATCTTTGTTAATTTTCGACGATTGTAGCCGTGTCACATGGACATACCTGATGAAAAATAAATCAAAAGTTTTCCAAATCTTTGTTAATTTTTTCCGTCTGGTCCAAAATCAATTTGGAAAAAATATCAAAAGAATCAGGTCTGATAATGGTACTGAATATGTGAATCATGAATTTCTTAATTTTTTGTCTCATAATGGTATTGTTCATGAACTAACATGTGTAAACACCCCTCAACAAAACGGGGTTGCAGAAAGAAAGAATTGTCATCTTCTTGAAGTAACCAGAGCTCTTCTGTTTCAAATGTTTGTTCCAAAAAAATATTGGGGAGAAGTTGTGTTAACTGCCACGTATCTTAAATGGCATTAGTCCTATAGAATCTCTATTTTCTTTTGTTCCCTCTTCTCCCCTAGTATCGAGTCTACCTAGTCGAGTCTTTGGATGTACTATTTTTGTTCACTCTCATCATCCTAATCGTAGTAAATTAGATCCCAAAGCTCTTAAATGTGTCTTTATTGGGTATCCTTCTAATAAAAAAGGGTACAAATGTTATCATCCTCAGAGTCGTCGCGTCTTTATCACCATGGATGTCACCTTACAGGAAACACAATCCTTTTATGCCAGCCCACCACTTCAGGGGGAGAAAGCACTTGAAGTGGAGGAGCTCTCCTTCTTGTCATTACCATATTTGTCTTTGCAGGATGCCCAAGATCTAAGCAATGAAGCTACCATGGTCCACAATGAGGAAGAAGCAGAAAAAGAGGAAGACAAATTTTTTGGCAAAAAATATGACAGAAGAAAACAACCCACTTCGACTCTCGAGCAAGAAAAATTGTCTAATCAAGAGGTGAGGATCCTTGAAGATAACAGTGAGGAGGTAAGTATTACTGAGGACTTACCCATTGCATTGAGAAAGGAAAGAAGATCATGTGCTAAATATCCTATTTCTCAGTATGTTTGCACTAACAATCTCTCTGATAAGCACAACAGCTTTATTGCTGCCATTGATGCCACAGAAATTCCTGCCTCAATCCAGGAGGCCATGAAACTTGAACATTGGACTCAAGCCATGAAAGAAGAGATGAATGCATTAGAAAGAAATTTAACTTGGGAGATTGTTGATAAGCCAAGAGACAAGAAGGCAGTAAGGTGTAGATGGATATTCACAGTGAAACATAAGGCAGATGGGACAATAGAAAGATATAAAGCTAGATTGGTGGCAAAAGGCTATACCCAAACTTATGGGATTGACTATGAGGAGACGTTTGCCCCAGTGGCAAAGATGAATACAGTTCGAGTTGTTCTCGCTTTGGCTGCTCATTTTGGTTGGGACTTACACCAGTTGGATGTGAAGAATGCCTTTCTTCATGGAAATCTAGAAGAGGAAGTGTACATGGAGATTCCCCCAGGTTTTGAAGTGAAAAATGAAAGAAACAAGGTATGCCTCCTAAAGAAAGCATTGTATGGTCTTAAGCAATCCCCTAGAGCATGGTTTGGAAGATTTACAAAAGTAATGGTTTCCTTGGGATACAGACAAAGCCAAGGAGATCATACTCTATTCATAAAACACTCTTCTACAGGTAAACTCACTCTATTGCTTGTCTATGTGGATGATATGATTATTGCAGGAGATGATGAAACAGAAAAATTGGCATTAAAAGAAAAATTGGCAGCCCAATTTGAAATGAAAGACCTAGGAAAACTCAAGTATTTTCTTGGAATAGAGGTTGCTTATTCCAAAAATGGAATTTTCATCTCCCAAAGGAAATATGTACTTGATCTCCTCAAAGAAACAGGGAAGCTGGGATGTAGAACCTCAACAGTTCCTATAGAACAAAATCACAGAATTAGAAGTGAAGAAAGTGCTCCTGTAGAGAAAGCTCGATACCAGAGATTGGTAGAGAAATTGATTTATCTATCACACACACGACCAGACATTGCTTATGCAGTTAGTGTAGTGAACCAATTTATGCATGATCCAAGAGAGAGACACATGCAAGCAGTTGACAAAATTCTCCAGTACTTGAAGTCAAGTCCAGGAAAGGGGTTATTGTTCAAAAGGGAAGATACATTGACTATGAAAATATATACTGATGCTGACTATGCAGGTTCTATTACTGACAGAAAATCTACTTCTGGGTATTGTATGTTTCTTGGAGATAGTCTCGTAACGTGGAGGAGCAAAAAGCAAGATAGAGTATCTTGTTCTAGTGCAGAAGCTTAATTCCGAGCCCTTGCTCAAGGAATGTGTGAAGGACTCTGGATGAAAATCATTTTGGATGACCTTAATGTCAAGGTGGACAACCCCGTGCAACTATACTGTGACAATAAGTCTGCCATGAACATTGCCCATAATCCAGTACAACATGATAGGAACAAACACATTGAGATTGACAGACATTTCATCAAAGATAATCTAGATAGAGGCTTCGTGATTACAACTCATGTTCCTACAGAACTTCAGATAGCATATATTTTTACAAAAGGGCTCCCTCAGGGTAGATTTCAAGATCTTGTAGGCAAGTTGGGAATGATTGATATTCATTTACCAACTTGAGGGGGAGTGTTGTAATTAGAGGAAAAATCTTCCTAATTAGAGAAAATATCTATAGAATCTTCTAGGATATTTTTCAGAATATTTTTCCTTATTTCCTTATTTTAGAAGATTAGATTGTTACAAATAAGTATAAGGAAAATGTAATATGTATGAATAATAATAATAATAAATTATTCTCCTTTTCAAGTATATCTTTTATATTCATGTGTACTTTATGAAATACATCTATATAAACATTCATCCAGTGTGTATTGAGACACAGTTTCAATCAATTATTCTTCTTTATTCTCTAATTCTTAATACTAGCATAGTTTTTGTTCATAAACACATATTTACCCATACTTGTAATTAGATGTTAAAAGATAGAAAATAACTAAGACAACATGATTTGAGTGAACAAAAAAGAGATAAGTTGAAGCTTAGAGTCTCATCAAAAAAGATGTTCATGGAGAGTTGTATGCATATGCAAAAAGAGGAGACATCTTTTCCGATGAGATTCCATGCTAGAATAATGTAATTCTAACATTCCATTTTTTTCTCCTAATCTAGAGATAAAAATAAGAACAAATAGAGTAATGTAAAAAGGGATAAAAATATAGGTAAATATTTTAAATGACGTGACAGTTGTTTATTGGTGGGATGCCAATTGCAACACCATGAGGAGACATGTGATTTGGATCTATGTAGAATAAGCCTAGAAACCTAACAAAAAAATTACATAACAATATACTAGAAATAAGAATTTCCAACAGAAAGGTTAAACAACATATGAAGTGAAAATTGGATAGATAATTTCCTACCGCTGATTCAGAATTGCCAGACCGTTTGTATCATGCAATAAAGAAATGTCTCCAATTACACACAACACCTGAATAAAATTATGAAATTAAAGGAAACTATTAAAAAAGAAAGGAATATATGGTAAACAATTGAAGCAAAAAATAGATGGAGAGAACAATTGTCAAAGTTACAAAACGAAAGAGAAGAAGTTCTCATAACAGACAACAAATAATAGATGGGGTGCATTTCCATGTTTTTCTCACTCATGGTATAAACTAAATTGGTAATGAGCTTTGAATATATGCTTGAAGATCTAAAATAATAGATGACACCATAATTAAATAAATGGGGGAGGAAGGATAAAGAATAAAATAACAGCAAGGATAAAATATAAAACTTCCTAAAATACACAATGGTCAACACAGTTTTGACACTCCCCCTCAATCTGGTGAGTAAATATTCTCCATTCCCAACTTGGATATAATTCTTTCAAAGTTAATGCAGTTCAGCCCTAGGTGAGTATTTCTACAAGTTGACTTTGAGTGGGCACATATGGGGTGCAAATCATGCCACTGTCTAGCTTTTCCTTGATAAAATGTTTGTCCACCTCAATATGTTTAGCTCTATCATGCTACACCGGTTTGTGGGCTATACTAATTGCGGATTTATTGTCACAATATAACCTCATAGGTTCATCCCACCTTATCTTCGGGTCTTCCAATATAATCTTTAGCAATAGAAGTTCACATATTCCTTGGGTCATTGCTCAAAATTCTACTTCAGCACTCAATCTACCTACTACACTCTGGTTTTTGCTCTTCCAAGTCACTAGGTTTCCACCAAGGAAGCTGCAGTATCCAGTAATTGATCTCCTATCCACAACTGACCCCATGTAATCTGCATCCTTATATGCTTCAAGACTTACACTCATATTCCATTTGAACAAAATCCCTCTTCTTGGAGTCCCATTTAAATATTGGACAATTCTAGGGGCAGCTTGTAAATGTTCTTCCTTTGGTTGGTGCATAAATTGGCTGACTAGACTCACAACAAAAGCAATGTCAGGCCTGGTGTGAGATAAGTAAATAAGCCTACCCGCGAGTCTTTGATACATTTCCTTGTTCACGGCAATATCCTTTTTCGCAATTCCCAACTTTATATTTGGGTCAACTGGAGTACTTGCTGGTTTGCAAGTTGTCTTACCTATTTCTTTAAGCAAGTTAGTAATATATTTTTGTAGAGATATGAAGATTCCTTTATTGGAATAGGCCACTTCAATTCCCAAAAAAATATTTAAGTCTCCCTAATGTCTTGATCTCAAATTCTGTGGCAAGGCATTGACTTAACACTTGCTGATCCTTTTTGTCATCCCCAATTACTATAATATCATCTACATACACCAACAATATTGTTACTCCCCCTGAAACTGAATGTTTGATAAATAAAGTATGATCCCCTTGGCTCTGTTTGTAGCCCAAACTTGTCATAACTTTGGTGAATCTTCTAAACCATGTTCATGGGGATTGTTTCAGCCCATATAGAGCTTTTTATAGCTTGCAAACAGTTCCAGCAGCAACCTGTCCATCATAACCAGGGGGCAACTTCATGTATATTTCTTCTTCAAGGTTTCCATGTAGGAATGCATTCTTCACATCGAATTGTTGTAGGTCCTAATCCTGGTTTGTTGCTAGTGACAATATTACTGTTCATTTTAGCAACCAAGGCAAATATCTCTAAGTAATCCACTCCATAAGTTTGAGTGAATCCTTTGGCCACTACCTTGCCTTGTAACGTTCAATGGTCCCATTAGCCTGATACTTTAAGGTATATAACCACTTGCATTCTACTGATTTTTTTCCATTTGGTAAGGTGATAAGTTCTCCCAGCTCCTGTTCTTGTTTAACACTTCCATTTCCCGATCATGGTTTGTTTCCATTTCCTATCAAACAATGCTTCAGATATACTGGAAGGTGTAGGTATGGAGTTTAGGTTTGTGAGAAAGGTTTTGAGTAGGAGAGAATTTTTCAAAGAATAGGAAGTTTGATAGAGGGTAAAGTGGCTATTTGGTGCATGTTCTGGTTCCCTTTCTAAGGGCAATGGGAAGGTCTAGGTTTTGGTCCACCTGTGCTTCTGAATTTTCAGAGACAAACTCCTTACAATTATTGGAATTTATAGGATTAGAAAGTGTTACTTCATGCAATGATGGTGGGTTGGATTCTTGGACATGGACAGATTCTGGAATGGCCTTTTCTCTCCTTGAATATACCAGATTTTTCCCAAATTTCCCACCATTAGGTGCAGGTTCAGGTGCTTGTTCTATTCTTCTCTCAGTTTCAGGGACAGCCACGCTATTTGTCCCACTTTCAGGTCCATATCTCATATTTGGAAGCATGAAAGACTCATCTTCCTCTCTTACATTTTCCCCCTGAAGATGAGGCTGCTGGAAGTAGCTCTCTTGTTCGTTGAAAGTGACATCCCTTGACACAAAATCTTTTTGATGGTGGGTGAAAACATTTGTATCCCTTTTGTGTGATTAAGTACCCTAAGAATATACATTTGATAACCCTATGATCGAGTTTTCCCCTTTCATTACTATGAACATGCACAAAGGATACACACCCAAATATTCTAGGTTAGAGTTTATTGGTAGGATCCAGGTGTGGGTAGAATGAGGAAAGGACTTCCATGGGGCTTTTTGATTCTAAGATTTTAGTGGGTAACCTATTGATTTTAGGGGAAGGACTCATTTTATTGTTAATGGGGAAAGGTACACGTTTGTGTTTAGCAAGCTCACACACATCACAATGGAGACTACACATTTAAATTCTTAAACAAGGAAGGGAAAACCACTTTTACAATTCGAAATGAATGGTGTCCCAACCGACAATGGTATAGTTGAGCTTTTTTTTTACTGGTCATGGTGGATTCAGATATGAGAGTGACTCTTGGTAAGCAGATTAGAGTCCTCCATGTAGTACAGGTAATTCCATTCTCTAACATGTCTAATCGTCCTCCCCAAGTTCTTATCCTGCAATATACAAGAGTTGCTATGAAAAACAACATTGCATGAGGTCTTTTGTAAGTTTTTGTATAGAAATTAGATAGGTGGATAGTTTGGGGACATGAATCACACTTTTTAATGTTATGGATGGGCTTATTTGGACCTCTCCTTGTCCTGCTGCAATTATAAAGGTTCCATCTACGGTGGAAATTTTCTTATTGCTAGGGCATGGAGAATATGTGGAGAAGTATTTGGATAGAGGGGTCATATGGTCAATGGCTCCAGAATCTAGCATCCATTAATGGATAAAGGGTGTATCTAAAACATTAAATCCAAAAGAGACTGGAAACTTACCGCAATATGTTAAGGAGCACATACCTATGGGCTTCTCCAATTTACTAAAGAAGGATCTTATCCTTTTTATCCCTTCATGGTTTAGTTGGACAGATTTTTCATTTTGTCCATTAACAATGTGTGCTTGCCCTAGCCCTCCTCCCTTTGGAGGGCCTCCTTTTTGCCCCTATTCTCGGCTTGGGGGTTTTCCATGTAATTTCCAGCACTTCTCCTTTGTGTGGCACAACTTGTTGCAACAGGTACACCAGACTTCCTCATGCTTTCTCTCCATATTGGGAAACCCACTTTTCTTCCGGTTAGACACCATGGATGTTCCTCCATTGACCACCATTGTTGAGCTTTTAGTAGTTAGGGTCTCTAGCATCAGGCCTTTCCTGCTTTATTCACTCCATACAATGGCTACCAGTTCATTAAGCCCTGGGACTTTCTCTTTTCCCAAGATTTGGATTCGAACCGTGTCAAATTTAGGATTCTGGCCTACCAAAAAATCATAGACTCTATCTTGTTCAATAAACTCCTTAAGGATTGTTGAGTCTTTTGAACATTTTGCTTTTATAACTTTGTAGAGATCCAATTCTATCCATAGGGACTTGAGTTGATTGGCATATTTTGTAACTGATTTGTTTCCTTGTTTAGCAACCACGGTTTTCACCTTTACATCATAGATTTGAGCAGCATCCTTGGCCTTAGAATAGGTTTGTTCTACTACCTCCCAAAATTTTCCTTTGCTAATTTAAAGAACATGTAGATATATCACTGATTTCTGGGACCATTGAATTCCACAACCATGCCATGACCATGAAGTATTCCTCATCCCATGATTTAAACTTGGCATCCTCTTCATCAGGGGCATTATCAGTCAAGTGACTAACCTTTCCTTTGCCTTTCAAGATGGTCCTGATGAGTTGAGACCATTTGAGATAATTCTTTCCATTTAATTGATAAGCAGAATGAACATTCTGCAATTCTCCAGCAGTTTGGGATCTGTCCCAAAGAATCACAATGTCAGCCATCACAGGTGGGTACAATCAAGAAGGTAGAATGGATTGCGTAGCAATGAACGCCCAAGGTCGCACAACAATGAAGGTTGCAACTTAGGGTTTATAGGCACATGCAGCAATGAAGGTTGCAATTTAGGGTTTACAAGCAAGCGCAGCAATGAAGGCTACAACTTAGGGTTTACGGGCATGGTCAAAGGCTCCCAAAGATTAGAAGCTTTGATACCATCTCAAATTTAGAAGGAAGAATATCTTTCTTTTGTTATTATGAATTATGAGGTCATTTAACCTATATATACATGAGCCTGTAGGGAATTCAAGAAATATGGACCATTAATTCTAGGGAAACAAATCCCATTGATTATGGGATTGTTTCTAAATACATAAACCTAGTATTATAAACATTATACGACTGTAATAAAGAATAAAATTACAACAATTATAAAATATAAAACTTCCTAAAATACACAATGAGCAACATAGTTTTGACAAAATATATTACATTTTATACTGAAAATAATATATAAATACTATTATAAAAATCGAAAGAAATCATTCTTCTTATTTTATTCAAATGATTGGTCTAGTACATAAATAGGTAAAACTGGTAAATAAAAAAAGGAAACAAATAATAGGCAATTCCTATAATTAAATAGGAATCCCTATAAATCAATAACAGCAATAAAGAATAAATTGTAGACCATAATCCCTGAAATTCTACAACATAATAATATC